TTGTTGTTATTGTTTTGTTGGTGGTAATGGAAACAAGGCTAGCAGCCCATTTCGATAATTCCATTACGAAGACGAATTGCAAATGGGTGATGGTGATGATGATGATGGGAGAAGGAGAAAAAAAAACAAGTAAAACGGACATTTCTCGCCAAATGAAGATAAATCAAGTAGCACCAAAAAATTATAGCCCCCAATAGCCAATGTGACCGACAAACAATCGTTGGTTGACATATAAGTACATGTGTTCGAAACAATAAAAAAATAATAACTCACGAATGGCAGCACCGTGGTTTGACACTTCTAAAACGAAATTGTGTTCTAAGAGAAATGGCCTTTGAAACACTGGGGGTAAATTTCATATTTTTTATAGAAATTGTGATGAAAGGCAAAAAAATCAAATTAAGAAGTTAAAAAGTATTGGTCAGTTGGCCTACCAATGACCCACTTATAATATATCAGATTAGATATAAAGAGTGGTTTTGGTACAAAATTTAAAATCAATGAATACAAATTCTGTAAAATTTTGTACCTCCTGGTATCCTTAAGGTAATAATACCTTATCCTCACACCTTCACACAAAAGTAAATCCTCATGGAAAATATCAAAGTTATACTAAACGTTGGATAAAATTCCTGCACCTTTTGGTACTTTTTGTTATTCTTAAAGTACGAAACATCTCACATTATCTCAATCTCCTACACTCAAAATATGATCCCCAAAAATGTCAAAATTCAAACTTTTCAAAATGTCTGTGTTCGATTTTGAAAATTCCGTTTTAACGCCACTGTAGTTGGAACAATTTCAAATATCTATTATCTTTCGTAAAGTACGAGTTTCTGATATATCATACCTCTTAACACCAAGTGTGACCCTCAGGGAAATTTCTAAATTCTAGCTCCTACCATTCGTTCAAAAACAAAGTTGTACTATTTTGTACCTATAGTACACAAAGTGCCCTTGTTGTGTGAATTGCCAAAACTCCTCCATATCATCCAAAGAGGATGGAAAAGTTGCATGCGAAGAGGAGTTTAGTAGCTCTTGCCGATCATTTAATAAAGCTGTCGTACTATTTCGGACTTTTCATACACTTTGAGTGCGAATTTCGCAAAATCGTATTTTTTCTCACCCCTTCACACAATCTGTAAACCTTATCTCAAATATCAAGGTTTAAGGACACATTCGATCACGAAATGTGTTAATCCTCGTTTTTGAAATGTACTGCATGTACAGGGTGAGATGAAAAACTAATTTCTAAGTCACTCGTCCGACAGCTGTTAAAAATATTTCAGTTACAGGTCATTATATTGTTTACAAGCATACAAAAGCATTTTGGTGAGATTTTTCCAGAAAAAAAGTTATTCGTGATGGAGTTCAAGCGGGATAGTGTGATTTCTTTATATTTGGCTGGGAACCCACAAGTGGCTATCGCTGAGGCACTCAAGCATTTAAATGTGAATAAATCTGTTGTGTCTCGTACCTTTGGTCGTGACCATGATACAGGTAGCGTAGCCCGACGTCAAGAAAGTGGACAGAAGAAAACAGCAACATCAGCAGAAATGGTTCGAAAAGTGAGGAAGCAACTTGATCGAAACCCGTGTCGCAGTGGCCGAAAAATGGCTCGTTAGCTGAACATATCCCAATATTTCATTCGGCAAATATTGAAAAATAAGCTCGGGCTAAAACCATTGAAATTCAAAAAAGTGCAAAAACTTACACCGAAATGGAAAGAAAATAGACTCAAAAGAGCTAAAGAGGTGCTTCGCTTGGCCGAAAGTGGTGAACTGCCGAATTTGGTTTTCTCCGATGAGAAAACATTCGTTGTCCAGCAGTTTGTAAACAAACAAAATGCTCGTGCTAACTTGCCAAAGAGGTCAATTGAAAATTTGCGCCTTCAGTTGGCCACCAGAAATCAAGCGCCGGTCATGGTGATGGTGTGGGCCGGTCCGCCATAACAGCCAATGGTCGCTTCCCGCTCGTATTAATTGACCGTGGCATCAGAATAAATGCCGGATATTATCGCAAAAATATTCTGGAGGGTGTATTAAAGCCTTGGGCATGCAAAAATTTTGCCCTTAGACCTTGGACATTTCAACAGGACTCAGCACCATCGCACTCAGCACGCGCCACCCAAGAATGGTTACGAAATGAGGTTCCTCGCTTCATTTCCAGCGCACAATGGCCACCAAAATCTCCAAATATCAATCCGTTGGACTATTGTGTCTGGAGTATTTTGGAAAGCAAGTTTGGCACTAAAAAATACCAATGTGTCGATCACCTCAAGCAAGCGCTTCGCCGAGAATGGGCCAAAATAGCACAGAGCAACATTCGGGCAGCGTGTGACGGTTTCATTGGCCGTTCGAAGGCAATAATTCGATCCAGAGGTTACCAATTCGATCAAATCTAAACTTATTCTAAAATTTGATGCTATTTCCGACATTTTTTGCCTTCATTCAATAAAATTTAGAAAAAAATGTAAAAATTATGGCGTGTCACTTTGTTGCAGTTTTTTATATCACCCTGTATGTTAGCATATTCCAATAGAGCTCTTGTGTTTCCGAATATTATCATTATATTTGGATTAATTACAATTAAATTTGAATCAATCATTTTTGTGTTACTTTTCAATTGATAACCTTTCCAACCACTGCTATTCAAGAAACACAAACAGTTTTTTCGCCTTAGAAAAACAAGCGATTTGAGCAGCAGACATAGAAGACACATAACGCCAGCACTGGTAGCTACAAAAATATAGACTGACCATAAATTCTCAATTTTATATTAAACCAAACAAAAAAAATCACAAACAGAGACAAACAATATCGGCTGCAGTAACAACAACAAGGTCAATGCAATTCCATATGGATCTTCGTAACACATTAATAGTTTTTTTTTTGTTTTTGTTTTCTTCTTTGGGGTTGTGTTGTTGCTCTTGTTGTCGTTGCTATTGTTATTGTTGTTGTTATACTTAAGTGGGAAATAACGAGTAGCATCATTGTATGGGTGCCAATTGCATTCTGCCATTCTGTCTTATTTTTAATAAATGTTGGTGGGGTTGGTTGGGTCGGTGTTTCGTTTCAATATTTCTCAATACAAATTACAACTTCAAACCGAAATTCTTTGCCGTGGTCTGGTCTCATGTTACACTTGTCTAGAACGTGGGAATTCCTCCACGGGCAGTGATGCGAAACGCTGCGAAGATTATTGCATTGGTAATTTACCGGTTTCGGATTTATTTTTTTACACTTGGCTATTCTAATTTGACTGGCGAGATACTAGCTGTCAGCGTACCTGCATACAAACACAGAGAGTAATAGCATATGTGTGTAAAACATAATTTGTTAAACTACACCTACAATTAGCCATAAAATAACAAAAAACAACAACTCAATTTAAATTTGAACTTTTGAAAATTAATGTAGCCGTAATAAATGAAAATGAACAGAAATTGGTTCTAATTGATTTAGTTTCCAATTTGCAATAAATGAAAATAAATACTCGAATTTGTTAAAAAACTTTTTGATTAATAACATTTGGTTTTAAATTAAATTAAATTTAAATTAACAAAAACTGGCTAAAATGTTCTGTTTATAATCAGCGCTAAAACAGCATAAGTTCTAAGTTAGTAAGTTTTGGATACTGACGAAAGTGAATACGAACGATTGTGAATTTGGTCAAAGTTTTACAAACATATTCGGATAAGTGAAAATTAGATGCGAAATTCAAGATTGTTCACAATTTTCCTACTAATTTGATAAAAATAAGATAGTTATTAGTCGGTTAGGAGACATACACATGCGATCTAAATCGTGGACTCGCTTCGCATCATATGCTAGTTACGATTTTCCAAAAATTTAACCATTTCTAGGAGCAGAAGTGGATCCACGAATACAATTTTCGCACTAGATTTAGTATTGCCAGAAATACTGAAATATGCGAAGTTTGAAGAAAATCGGAAAATACTACCCTATTACATGAGTAATTATTATTATTAATATTATTATTATTATTATTATTATTATTATTATTATTATTATTATTATTATTATTATTATTATTATTATTATTATTATTGTTATTATTATTATTATTATTCTAACTATTATTCATTAATAATTTTTAATATTTTTATTTAAAATGTTGACCTTTTGTGGGGAAAACCCAGAAAAAATCTATTTCCCACTAGATCTACTATATACGGATTTTTACCATATCCGATGCTTCATTCGATTTGTATGAGATATGGAAAAATATCAATGTATGGATGATTGCCTTTCGTTTGAAACATAAACATTGCATTTAATTCTCGCTCTGAATATTTTCGAGAATTCTTTACTCTATTTCATTTTGAGGGTTAACACTACGCCGTTACCATTCATGTATTAATGCACAACAACAACAATAACAACGATATGTCTTTGAAATTTGCATCTGCCAAAACGAAAGACTTAAGCAACAAACATTCCACCCGCATTCTTTCATTAGTTTTGGTTTGCCACGACCAGCAACATTGTTGCTAAACATTGTATCTTTTTCCATCAATAAACAAGAACAACAACAACAGCTAAGAATAATCATCCACACAAATGATGTAATTTTCAGTTATGCCATATTATCAAATCAAACGGCTGTTGCCATCATCACCCTCTTGTAAAGAGATTCCCATGAAAATGAAATCTCCTTAATGTTTCTCTCTCTCACTCACTACCACTACCTCTCTCTGTTATCAATGGAATTCATTTCTCCAGCAATGCATTCATTGTGTGTTTAGCAAGAGGGGGCTCTCAGTGTTTAAATGTAGGTGTGTTGTGCTCACTTTGTGTTTTGTCTATGCCAGCTATTAAGTATTGCTGTTGTTGTTGTTGGCTTGTTGTGTTGTGTTGCTGCTGCTGCTGCTGCCGTTGTGATTTGTTTGGAGAAGAAGATGTTATTGCTGGTGCCGCCAGAAGATGTTTAAGCCAAGTTTTTCTTCATCATAATAACACATTTCGCAGCTTTGGCAATTTTAGTTCTGATTTGAACTTTGCTAAAAGCGGTTGTGTTTTGCGGTACAACGAAACGACTCAAAGTGAATCTCCTTTTTTCCATTGATTTTCCTCCCGCCGCCCCCTCTGCCTAAGTACTAAACAATTAATTTTACAACTTGTAATTGAAATTACACAAACAAAAACAGCAAACGAGACAAGTCGAGGAAAAAAACAACCAACAAACAAATAAAAAATTACAACATTTTATTAAACAATTAATATCCCCGGTGGTGCAGTTGTGTGTGTGTGCTTTTTTTTAAGAAAAAAGAAGAAGTAAAACTAAGGAACAAAAAGCAAAAGATGAAGAACTTAAAATGTTTGTGTTTTTTTTTCTTTATTTATTTTGTGTGCAACATCTCAGCCAGCCTAAATGCTAACAAGTTTTAAGTTTTCCTCGTTGCCTCCTGCCACACCACTTCCACGGCGAAATGAAATAGCATCGAATTTAACAAAAACAGCCAAAAAACAAAAACGAAGATGATTTTCTTAAGGCATTGCAAAAAAAAATAAATAAAAGAAAAAACACAAAATTGCAAAGTATTCCTGACAAACTAGACTTGCCACTAAGAAGACTGGCTTGCCACAAATACAGCCACACATGGGGGCACGGACATTTGCATAGATGAAGTAGATGCATTAATGTAGAATTATTTTGATTAACAATTAAATGGTGCAAATGATGTGATAACAAACAGAAAATGACAATTACCGTCAAATGAACGATGCAACTGTAGGTGTCGGCGAAGTAGGGGCCACTTAAGGCCGTCGTTGAATGCAAATACGAAAAACTGGGTTTGTAAAGGTCGTTATGTCAATGCAATGACGGTATTTGTGCCCAAGGGCCTGTGGATATTTATTTGAAAATCATTCTATTCAAATAGGGGTTTTGAAATGTTGTAATAACTGAAATAAATTTACAATTTAATCGAATTCCACGAAATTTGAGTAATTTTCCATTCGAAGTGCTAATTCATCATTTGGTGCTGTAACAATTTAATGAGATTTTGGGATTACTGATTTGTTTTTCATCTGTGAGCAAAAAGTAATTTAATAATTGCAATTTTTCGTATCTGAAATTTGCAATAGTAGCTGTCATCGAGTTGGGGCTTTAATAATGGAAAGATATTAAATTATAATGAGTTAAAGATGAATACATTCATGTAGCTATGTGTATAGCCTAAATTAGTGGCAGTAGTGTGAGGGTTTTGTTTGTAGGTTTACGGAACGCTTACAGAAGGGTTATTTTGGCGACTTGTGACCTTCCATTTGATTCTAGGTCATAAAATAATATTTTTGGTTTTATTTGATATTTTCTCTTTCGAGGTGAGCTATAAATCAATCTCCTTAGATTTATTTTTGGAGATTTTTTATTTTTTTAACTCTCCGGAGTAGTTTTAATAAAAATCTATAAAGGAATCGTCATTTTCAGAGGAGAACTTTTTTTATTTGAATAGGATAGACCTATTTTAAATAGGATAGACCTAGTTAGGGCCTAAGGGCCACTTCGTACACAACTTGAACTATTTTTGTAGAAAATTTTGTAATTTTTAGCTTTTTTATTGTTTAAATTTAATTTTTATAAAACTATGATTTTTGATTTGATTTTATAAAAAATGATAAAAATATATTTTTTGGTGATCATTAAAGAATTTTAGAAAAAATATTTAGAGATTTTAAATGCTTCAAATATTTCCCTTCTAATTGTTTACATTTATCTGATAAATTTTTAAATATATATGTGTGTATATTAAAGTCCTTTTACCAAAATCGAAAACATAGGTCCATAATTAGTCCCACATAATTTTGCTTAGTTAAGGACAGATCGAGACGGGCGCAGTAGCAAATATGGAACAGAAGAGTACAATTTTAGCTACCAGCTTCTGAAATATCAAATGACTGAAAGTTGTGACCTCGGTATACACAATTGCAATTGTCAATAGGATTTTAATTGTTCAAATATCGAAATATCTATCAGCATGGAATCTTCATCCGTCTATGGAATTTTTTCTAGCTATTTCGAAAATGGGCCATATAGGTCTTACATAATGGTACCGCATAATTGAAGCTATATTTGGAGTTGTAATTATATTTTGCAAATAAATTGGATATAAATGGAAATTTAAAGTTCCATTCGACAAAAATGATATTTTACGCCAGATATCTTATAGAGCTCGGAAGTACCTTTGCCAAATTTTATCAAGATCAGTTCAGATTTGGATATAGCTCCCATATATATATCTTCAGCCGATTTCCGGTTAATTGTGCCCAAATGACCAATATCTGTCCAAATGTCCTGGATTTTAGTACATCCGACCAAATTCAGTCTAGAAGCAAGGTCATTAAAATTCGGCGAAAATGGCTTCAGGTATAGCTATAATAAATAAATAAATTCTTTTATTACGAGAGTTCTACTAAATAAGCATAGTGGTGTAAGGTATCATGTAGTCGGCCCCGCCCGAATTTTGACATTTCCTTACTGGTTTTATTTTGAATAGCCTCCATGTAACGCTGGAGCCTATACCTTTCGTTGTCTTTCTTATATTATTTTCATGCAAGTAGTTGATTTTTTTGTAATGGGGAGGGGGGTTCTGGCATGTGGTGTCTAATATTCAAAATGTTCGATCTGCCCAATATCTCTCTGTTTCAAATAAAATAGACTTTACATTATTAAGGGATGGACCCTAAAAATCCACCTATATCTTAGAGTTAATTCGATTCACTTTTTAAAACACGCTACCGTCCGATTTTTTCGGGGTTTCAAACTCAATTGTCACTCATCTTGACTGTAATTTAGTAAAAAGAGCCGTGTTTATTGTTATAGTGTATGGTTTTGGTTATTATTCCCATAATATTTTAAGATGGACCAAAATGTATCTAGACCAGAATATCCTCTTTGAGACTTGCCAGTAACAGAGCTTTCAAGATAATTGCTGTACCATCACAGTTTGTTGGCTAAAATAATATTGTTTGGAGGAAATAAATATCAGAGGTGAGATGAAGCTCCTCTCCTCTTAAAGAAAAAAAAAATACCTTAACAAGAACGTCTCTTTATAGTCTAGCCCTATTTGAAGCCGACAGAAGCTTTTAGCATTTATTCAAATTTCCATTTGGAATCACTTAGAAATTGGTTACATTGAAACCCTTTGTAGGCATTTTTATATTTTTACAGACGAAAATATTCTGAAATCTTCATATGATTGTCGACTTAATGAAGTTGCTTTGTAATCTCCACTTAATTATGCTATTGAAGAAATGTTGTGTATGGCCACCCCAAATGGATGTTCCTAAGCATCTTTTAAATACCAACAATTAGAAGGAGGAAAACGGAAATATGTAGCTAATTATTATGTGGGTACTGGTCATTGCCACAATTGGCGAATTCCCCTCGTATGATACGTTCTTAAGTACCCATAGTCATTCAATTTATTTTTATTTCATTTTTCACACACTACTCATCGAAGGGAAACGGATGTTTGTGTAAAATTATATTTAGATTGTAAAAATTGTACAAAAATTAAATACATTAATTTATTGTTTGTTTTAGTGTTTTTTGTTGCTGTTGTTGTAGTTGCTTTGCCTATTTAAATTTGTTCTTTATTTGTTTTCGGTTTCGTTTCTTGGTAATTAGCAACAGCAACAACAACAACAACGAACTAAACTTACGTTTTTATTTACGTTTGCTGGCATTTTAAGCTGTTGGTCTTCTTTGTTGGCTATTGACAATTGGCTTGTGGCAAGCGGTGTCGAGGGTGGAGACGACCAAATCTTTTGCTGCAATAAAATTTTGCGCGATAATAACAGTTTTTGTTTTCCACAACACACCTCTTTAGTTCGAATTTAATGTCATCATTAAGACCTGAACCACGTTGCTGGTAGGAAAAGCGTTTCTGTTATGTAAACGTGAAGGTGAATTGTTTAAAAGTATCCAGAAAAACGAAAAATAAAACCAACAACAATAGCGGGGATTAAAATAAAAACCAAAAAGTGAAAAAAAGAAATAACTCCAGAGCCACAAAAAATTGCGTTGACGAATTACAGCAACCGTCTGCTTTATGTGAAACATTTGAAAGCTGTTGAAATCCGTTATTGAAATCAGATGAATACCGTCATTGAATACTGAAAATCCCGAAACCTTTATACTTTATACGATTTTATCTGAATTGGATCAGAAAATTAGCGAGAACAGAAATTGTATATTGCGGAAAGGAAAGGTAAGTGCAAAACAGCATTCGAAGGAATTACGTAAAAATAAGAAATAATTTAAAAGTATTGAAAGATTATTATCCATTAAGAAAGTCAAATAACAATGTTCTTGTTCTATTTCCGAACTTTTTTAATTTTGTTGTTGCAACATAGTTAGGCTTAATCCCATTATTGTTGTTTTTATGAAAACAACGTTAGTTTATTAGAGGAGAAAGATGGTAATGTTTACCAGGGGATAAGGTAGGGAATACTTACATTTCGGAAAGAGCCACCAATCCTCATCAGTTACCTTGCTTTTTGTGTGGGACATTTTTCGCAAAAGTGAAAATTATAAAACTAGTAAAAGAGAGAAATATTACATTTACTCTAAGAGAACTGTTTTGTCCAGAATGAAAGGGAACCGAAAACTAGGGAAAAAGTCAAATATGGAAATCCTCAATTAAATAAAATTACTATTTTTACTCGGCTAAATTCCCCTAGCAAATATTAATAAATGAGTATGCCTGCAAGTTTTTCTAGGGTTCCGCGTACGGGACGGTGTTCAAGTAAAAAATTGTAAAACAAGTACAATACAGTACCATTTTCAGGTTCTGGATCACAACTGCTATGAACTTAAAACTTATTTGACATTTTACCTGGGAGATCCCCTATCAATGAATATAAAATAGAATAATATCACCAAAAACTTATCAGATCGACTAGGTTTTCTTCTAGCTGGGAACCCAAAAAGCCGATTTTCTTCCAAATTATGGCTGATCTTAACAATTACTTGAAATACCCATATGCGAGGGCCAGTGAAAATGGAAGTAAATTTAACGTCTGACTATCTCCCCGTTTTTGTCACAGCAGAGCGATTTGGTTAAAAATTTCCTTTCCAAAAAAAGTAGCCCTGAACGGTACCCCCTAACCAAAGATATTTGAATGGTTTCAGATGAGTATTCTCAAACAAATCGCCTATCATTTGATATGAGTCTCATTTAGTAGGTCAGATAGATTTACGATATATTAAACACCATAGTCGAATTTACAAAACATCCCCCTATTTAGCAAGCAGTAGAGTGCTTTCAGATTTTCTCTCTCTCTCTTTTCGCTCTCGAGTTTTGACAGCTAATTATACCCTCATCCATATGGCTACAGAGGGTATATATCATTTGATACATCCAAAACCTGCCTCCTCGAAAAACTGGTGGCTTGGTCTTTATGGACCAAATCCGTTTCAGGACATTTGGAGTGGTTCTAGCGATGTCCGTCTCTCTGTCTGCTGGCTGGCTCGAAGAGAGACTTCGATTTGGTCCAAACTTGGTACATCGTAATTTTATTATCAAACTTAGATTGAGATCGGAGATGGGCAATATCGGACCACTCCTTCTGGTACATCCCCTACAAAAGGTCAAGAATTTTCAAAAAAAAATATTTTACTGCACAGAGAGAGATAAGAAAATCCAATTTCACTCTAACTTTACAACTCCTTATACTTGCATTAGTGCTAGGTCAGGTAAGAAAATCGACAGTATCGGTTCCCTCCATCAAGTACATCTCCCACAAAGGGTCAACATTTATAAATGTGATGTAAAAGTCCGATTGTTTTCAATAAATATTTCTACTAATTAAAGATCTGCTGTGAAAATGGAATATATCGGTTCAATACTTCTGGTACCTCCCCCACAATGGTTAAAATATCCATGAAGCTCATAAAACGCGAAATTAACATCCGATTCCATTCAGACTTGCCACATCTCAATATTTCTATCAACACCAGATCTGTTATAAAGATGGTAGGGATCGGACTATTTCTTCTGGAACCTCCCCCACGAAGAGTCAAAGTTTAGAATAACCAAAACGATTATAAAATCCGATTTAACCATCCAGTTCTCTTGATATTTTCACAAATCCCATTATTCCTACTAACTCAAGATGTGCTGTGAAGATGGGAGAGATTGGTACCTTCCACACACAGGGTTCAAGATTTGAAAAACAAAACTTTTTACAACATACAAAAACACCTCAGTTTTTTCAGCAACATATTAAAATGCGTTCTTCTGCAAAATCGACTATTTCAGTTGTGACACTTTTCACGTAAATGAGCGATATGAAGATTAGAAATTAGCCCTTGCAGACGCCAGATTCCACCAAACGCTTGAGTTTTTGTAAATTTTCTTTTCAGTTATTTCCTCAATTAGGAGATCATTTAATGAGGTTTCCATGTCTATTACTCGGTGTGACAAATAGAGACCAGATGACCAACAGTCGGTTTGATTTTAAAACAAAAAGGCAATCACGAATATTTCCTATAAAACGAAGTGTCCATTGTGTTACCATTTCTTTATGTAATCGCTAAATTTATTTAGCCATTTCTTTTGTACGGCTCGCAAAAGGGGTCAATAGGGCTATGAAAACGTTTATTTTTTCCTTATTTTTACCGGAACATTTCAAGTTAAGGAAGCATTTCGTGGCCGATGACTAAAACAAAATTGTCATCTGCTCCCATCATGCCTTCCAAAAAAAAACTATTGGTCACTTTGGTTTATTTCCTAATTTGAATGGCATTTACATCGGCTACGTCATCATCACCGTTTGTTGGTATCATTTGTTGACCACCGAGCTGAGTGCATTCAGTCCGTTAGTCAGACCCACCAGCCATTGTCATAAGTCATAGCAACCATTTGTAAAATGTGAAATATTTCATGCTTCTTTAGTAGCGTTTTTCAAGCTTTTTCAAGTGAGTTCTGTTATACATTTGCAGTGTATAAATGCCATAGTAGCATTTGGCGCGAAATGAAGAAGTCAGTGGCGAGAAAATAAAAACAACTCAAACAGAAACACAAAAGAAAAAAAAAAAACACAACACTATCGTCTTAAAACTTTTTTTGTGGAAAATCTAAATGAAAACAAATGAATCTTGTTTTGAATTTAAGCCATTCTGCTTCATTCACGTCCATCGAAGTACAAGAAGCAATTGTGAAATGCTTTGTGGAAACCCTCCACCTAAGTGTCAGCGTGTAATGTGTACGTGTGTTTGTGTGTGTGTTATTACAAACACTTTTGGTATCCCAATACCATGATGTGGCGATGCTCCATTGTAGGTGGTTGGTGGCAAGAAGTTGACTTCAGTTTTTGCTCTGCTTTGATCACTTTGGGATTGCGTGAAGTTGTAAATGTTGTAATAGCCCACCAGGGGAGAAAAAAAAACGGAGAAACAAAAAAAAAAACAAAGTGGCAAGAGTGACTTGGCAAGAGAGCAGCATAGAGGCAAACAAAAGTGGGAAATAATGACTTGTTATTAGCTGGTGTTATATGTTTGGTCTAAATGTGGCGGATTGTTTGTTTAATTATATTAATTTTGACCACATGTTTTCAAAGGAATCATGACATGACATCAAGGAAATCTAATGCCATTTCCATAATATTTTTGTAGGTCAAAAGAGCAACACATATATATACATACATACATACTGACATGGAAATTTGATAAGCTGCCTCGGTGAATTGAGAATGGATTTTAAATCCAAATAAATGAAAATTCATTCAAATACTTATAAAACATAATAATTGCCCATTATTTTACCATGGACATGTCATAGGAACTAAGCACTTACAAGACCACCACAAAAATTCAACTGAAATTCACAAAAATAAAACTTTAGTAATTCAAATATTTAATTTGATATTCAGTTATTTTATTTGAAATTCAGCATATTGCAATTACAATTCAGAAAAAAAGTTACATTTAAAATATACCGAAATTGATAAATTAAAATACATATAAATTATATATACCCTTTCTAGCCATATGGCTGAGGGTATGAAGAGAGAGAGAGAGAGAGAGAGAGGGAGAGAGAGAGTTGTGAAATAACTGACTGCTTGAGAATCAACACTCAGTCGAAACAGCTGAAGCTAGAAAAAGTGTTGCAGGATGGTCAGTTTTAGTAGGCGTAGGCGTGTGATAAGCAGGGTTTTTGAAAATTGTTACTAAAAGTAGACGGAAAGTACAAAAACGTACTAAAAATTCAGAAATTAGGAATGTGGGTCACTCATGGAGTGCATGATGGATGTACAAAAAAGATTTTTGGAAATTCGAACTTTAAGGTTACGAAATGTACTAAAATTGTACTAAACTTATAAAATGGTACCATATGATATTGTGTGAACATACAGAGCTACAAACTTGAAATTTGGTATGAGAATCAAGGTTGGAAAGTAAGTTTGAAATATGAAGGAGGTTTTTAAAATGTACACTAAGTGTGCGAATTGTACTAAATAGTACTAAACTGGGAACATTTTGGTCTAGGATAAACGGATGAAGCTGGAATTTTGAAATTCATTATTGCGGTCCCTGTTGGTGATAGGTTTCTGATAAAGTAGTGGGAAATGTGTACTAAGTGTGCGAAATGTACCAAATTCGTACTAAATTTGGAACAGTTTGGTTTAGGGTAAACGGATGAAGCTGGAAATTATTAAATTTTGTATTAAGGTCCTTCTTGGTGGTTCAGTTGTGATAAATACGTGGTTTTGGAAATGTGTCATACAAGTGTACGAAAAGTACTAAATAGTACTATATTTGGCACAATTTGGTATTTAGTAAACGGAGAGTGCTTGAAACTGAAAGTTGGTATGAAGGTCGCTGTTCATGTGTAGCCTGGGCATATGGAGGTGGTTTCGGAAATGTGTACTATAATTGCACGAAAAGTACTAAATGGTACTATATTTGTTGTTGGGTGATGGGACAGAGAAAAATTCTGAAATATGATATTTAGATTACTGTTGGTATGTGTGTTTGATATGTGGCGGTGTTTTGGAAATGCGCCCTATATTTGTACACAATGTACTAAAAGGTACTAAATTTCCCTTTGAGCGAATGACAATACTTTAAGTCTTAAATTTGATATTGAGGCCTCTTGTTGGTATCTGGTATTGAGATATGGAGGTGGTTTCGGAAATGTGTTTTATAATTGTTCGAAAACTACTAAGTGATACTAAATTTGGGTCACTGTTGATGTCTAGGATGATG